CTTTTACCTCTCGAAGTGCGTCCCATAAATTATTAAACCCCCTGTATAGTGAACCACATTATCAACCAAGGGTTCTATTTGAACCCGTTTGTCTAAAACAGGAAACTACCCTGATGGTTTATTTATATCGTGGTTGTTGAAATTTGTGAAACCACGGAAAATTTATTTTACTCACCAAGTTGATGGTCAAAGTCATGGTAGATGAACTGAACTAAACTTGACTAAACACTGTCACTGACGAAACCATACACGCTGCTATAAATATGCTTTTCCTTTCTATGCTGTTTATATACATTGCCATTTCTCCTTCAAGCATCATCTGCGCGTAGATATATACAAGGTGTTACAAATTCGTTGCTATGAGCATGGAGATCTCGGTACACTCAAGAGGTACAGAATAGGTCAAATTAGGGCATAGTTGCACCATTGTAAGCTCAACAAAATGCTGCTTCGAAATTGAAAAAAAAAACAATTATTTTCGGAGATATCGGGAAAAAATGAGAATATGTAAAATCGTTTTTATTTATTCCTCAGTTTATTTAGAGAGAGATTTCTAAATTAATATCACTTCATCATCGCCACTTGTCCTCCTCTACAAAATGGAATTGTCAAATTGGAAATCCGACGTTTCTTCTTCGAGTGGCCATCATCAACTTCATTTATTTTAAATACGGACCAGGATATTTTATGACAAAGAAAATGTTAAATACTGTCTGTAGGTTCATCGAGAAGGTGTTACATTCATTATTCCAGATTATTCTGGATTTTCTCTCCTCATTTCTTTAAAATAAAAATATGGATATCATTTCCATATACGTGTAGTACGGACAAATCAGACGATTTGCCCCAAAATGTCACTGCGTTTGAAGAATTTTCCTATCAGAGAGCCTAAAACAAAAATTCACTTACTTAAAAAAGGTTTGGAGAAGAGGAATAAAGGTATATAGAAAAAATATCAAACTTTCACTCATCTTTCGACGTTTCCGGAACGAATCTGCTCCCGTTTTCAACATAAAAAATGGATTATTGTATGACAAATTCGTATTCGTCTTGACACTTCTCAGTTCATTGTCACGAGTAGGAATTTGCCATAAAAAAATCCATCTCTTATGTTGAAAACAGAAGCAGATTCGTTCCCGAAACGCCCAAAGGTAAGTGAAAATTTGATATTTTCTCTATATTCCTTTATTTCTCTTCTCCAAACCTTTTTCAATACAAATTGTCACTGACAAGCTAGTGAATTTTTGTTTTAGGCTCTCTGATAGGAAAATTCTTCAAACGCAGTGACATTTTTAGGGCAAATCATCTGATTTGTCCGTATACTACACGTATATTGAAATAATATTGTTATTTTCATTTTATACAGACGAGGAGAGGAAATCCCAAATAATCTGGGATAATGAAAGAAAATGTTCATCCTCTGGAAAACACGAAAGGAAATCCCTATTAAGTTCGTTGGGAGAGTAGGTATTGATTTTTTTTCATTTGCCTTTTGGAGATTACATGGAATACCTCAATGCAAAACTCTGTAATTTTTACGTATGTACCAACTAGGGCAAAACAAAAAAAAAATTGAAGAATACTTAGAGCCATCTTCAGTATAGATCAAATTTCGGGAAATAGGTATTTAAATAATGAATGCTGATTGAATTTTCAAACATGCCACCTTATAATTCAAGAAGAACACCAATTCCTACCTTATTTCCTTTGGTTCTCACGATGTTCTCTGAACATTACAGGATATCCCTTTTCGTGAGAACCAGAACATAAAAAAATATATAGGTACATAGACAGGGTGTTTCCGAAATTGGGGCAATGAATAAAATGAGAAATGATAAATTGACAAGATCAATCACAAAAAATGTTTGAACGTCCGACAACATTGCAAAATTGAATTATCTCATTTCGTTTTATTTTTACGTCTTCTTTCATCCATTTCATTTATTACCTTAATGTCGGGACCACCCTGTATAGAGTAGTTTCAATTCCAATATGATATTGAAGCAAGATTGGAATTATTGGAAATATGAACTATTTTGAATCATAATGGTATGGGAGCTGTGGACTCCTATCTTCCTATTTAGTCCGACTTTGATCCTATGGCTATGATCTCTATAATAAATTAAATTCGAACAGTTTCAACTTTCGATAATTTCTTGAAATTATTCATATTTCACTATAGTTTCTATGAGGATCATCAAGATAATAGCAAGCCGACTAAATACAAGCATATCTCCTAATTTGATATACAAGTGGATGTAAAACTGCAATTCTTCTAAACCACTTATAAGAAAGTTGCATATTAAATCAATCATCTTGTTATTATAATATCAAGCAATTGTATATAGTGTGTTTAGGTGCATTCCTCTCATCCAGAACAATAAAAATATCATAAAATGATTCATTACATAAACATCAAACGACATAAATATTTGGCTGAAATATACATATAATATGAAGAATCGAAATTATTTTTAAACTTTCACCTATCCGAAATGGGATGATCTTTTACAGAGGCGTTAAGATTGTGTAATATATGAGGAGCAATTCTCATATTTCTGAACTGAAGACAACAAAGAACAAGAAAGTTTATGTTTTGGTAACACACACTCAGTCACAGGTCACAGATTAAGTCATTAGTGAAAATATCTATCTTCTATTCGAATTGGTGGGCGGTAGTTGAAACTTCGCCAATTTTTCGTAATTTTCAATAACGCATCATGCTTGAAGTGCTTGAACTGAAATTCAACTGATGATGTTGAAATTATTGCCTGAATTACCAAAGAGTTGACATCATATACGATTATACGTGGATAAAAAACTCCAATTTGAGAAATTCAAATCTGATCATCATTTGTGGTATTTATATACAGGGTGTCTAATTAATCATGGATCAAAAGAAGTGATGGGGTGGTAGTGGGGATCAACAAACTAACCGTATATGTAGTTATCATGTTGTTGTTGGTTCAGAAGTTATTCCGTTTTCCAAAAATCTCGACTGTTTTGAAAGAAAATTATAACAAGAAGGCTGTTTTGAATAACCCCATACGTTATAGATACCATTTCGGAATCTGTATTGAATGGGCAACTTCTTCTGATAGTTGGTCATCTTTGTGGGGTAGTTTTCATTTAAATCTGCCAGAGGCATTAAAATATCAACTGAATTATTTCATTCAACAAAACTTAAGGAAAACATCATTTTTGTTAATTGTAACAAAGGTCATATATCATTTTTCTTGGAAAAGTTGCATCCATGCGGATGAAATTTGTAGATGAAGAAATCACAAATGTGACATAGGTTTATTGTAATTGATTGTTTAGTGAACAAATGGAGATGAGAAATAAAAAAAAACTTCTGAACCATCAACAATAATTGGCTAACCACATACCTGGTGATACTAAGTCATGGTATACCTCCCCTTTTCTCCTTTGTATTTCTAGCTATATTTCAGAAATTTGGAACACCGAATATACCTACCAGAGATCTATGAATATACTCCCCAGGGGGCACTTTCTCAGATTTTAGGGAAGTTTTTACATCTTCCGGTTTTCCAGAGTGAAAATGACATCAACTTTCGATTTACAAATGGAACAGCATGTATTTCATTCCATAATCGGTAAGGGATTATTATACAGCGAAGTCAACAATACCGGGTTTGGATATTTCCAACGATTACGAAGATATTCGCGTTCGAGGTTTCCATAAGCTCAATGGATGTGACGGCGCAATATCGAAAGTTGATGTCATTTTCAGGAAAACTGGAAGATGCAAACAAATCCCGAAATGTGAGTAAGTACCCTCTAGTGAGCTTATTGGATATTTCAAATTCCAGAAATATAGCCAGGAAACCAAAGGAGAAAAGGGGGGTATACCATGAGTCTGTGTGTCACCCCGTATATACAGTTAGTTTAAATTGAAATTATACTCCTCTACCACCTCACTTATTTTGATCCATGATCCATGACTCATATATAGGACAATCCCTGTACCTATAAGTTTGATGATCTCTTTCAAATGACTTGCATATGCCTTGCATAACTTTATGTACAGATGGTTTTTGAAGAGAAAATTCACTTGGGCATATTCAAAATATCACAATTTCTTTGAATGAAGTGCGTATAGTTCTTTGAATGAAAGGATCCTTCTTCAGTTCGTAAATTATTGAGGTAGGGTACTGAAATTTTCAGGAGAAAGGAAGAGTCTGAAGATGAGTCAATTATACGTAAAACAAGCGAGTGCTTCCATGAAAAGTGAGACAAAATTTAATTTTACAGAACTGACAATCATTCCATTAAACTATGAATAGTTAGTGAAATGGACTTCCTGATTATTTCGAATCCGGAGTGATTTTCAACCTATCTTGTTTGCTCATTTTCCGGAAATTGTGGGTGGTACAATATATGGACGTTGGTGAGCAGTGTATATATCACTGAAGATTACTCCACTTGATAATAGCAAAGATTACTGAATTCTATAGTTGGTATAGTAGTTCATCTTCTGTAGTTAATGTATCACGCTCTTGCAAATTTCAGAATTCTTATGCCTATAAGTCAACAATATTATACCTATACGGAAGATCTGGAATGTTTCCATTGAAGGTGAGACACTGAGACACACTGGTATATCTTCAACAATATCTTTGATATGAATGTATCTGGAATGTATCAAGTCAATAGTTTTATATTTAAATAAATCATTGCTAATACTTGCACTTGTTCGTTATTGATATATAGGTAAGTATATCAAAAATGGAATCTCGGAGGTCGGGAGGTCGTGTGAACTACTCGGAATTCAAAATTACATAACATAATTTCCATATAACGCATAAATGATATATAGAAATCATTAAGATATTTACATTTTTCTGTAACAAGTCCCGTACAAATTTAATATTCAAATTTCTGAATTTTGCTGTTTTAGATCCACCTATTAGATCTATCACAAACTACTTTGAGGGAAAATTGTATCATTTCATCATAGATGGCAGCACCTTGCAAAGGAAACATTCTCTATTTACATTTCGTGACGTTTCAAGAAATTTCTTTTGACGTAGTTTGTTGACGTTTTCAGTTCTGTATGTTTTCATTTTAATTTTCACAAGCTATGATTTCAGTTTTATTTATTTTAATGTTTGATTTAACGACCTATCTGTAAAACCACCGCGCGACTTAAATGTGCAATCGAATTTCTTTGATATACAGTGATGACCTCAAAACATTTCTGCTTGAAATGGACCAGATTCCAGTCCAACATCCTGAGCGCTTTCGAAAGTCTGCAAAATACGGAAGACCTGGCAGATGTTACGTTGACTTGCGATGGTATCAACATAAAAGCACACAAATTCATACTATCAGCTTGCAGCCCGTATTTCAGAACGGTTTTCAAAGTGAGTAGTACAAAGTAGCACACCTGAACAAACTGAAACTATAGGGCTTTTTTTCCTAGGAAAACCCTTGCCCGCATCCCATAGTCATCCTCAACTACGTAGCATATGAGGATTTGATGGCAATCATCAATTTCATGTACCATGGAGAGGTAACTGTGACTGAGGAACAACTGTCTTCTTTCCTGCAAACTGCCATGGTGCTGCAAGTCCTTGGTTTGATGAACAACGAATACATGCCATCCAAGAAACCACCTGTTAAAAAGCTCAATCCCCCTATCGAATCTCAGGAGGCTCCACAGAAAAAAGCCAAACTGAGCCCCAAACATAAAAAGATCCCTACTACTCCTGGGCTTCTGGAGGAACCCCTAAATGACTTGAACAAATCTTCTCCTAGACAATTTGAGGTGGTGGAAGTGGATAAAATAAAGACTGAGGATGAATCAAGCAGCAATATTGAGTATAGTTTGAATGCTGGAGAAAATGTGGGGGAAAAGGTGGAAATGCAGGGGTCTATTTTAGAGGCTGCCTTGGAAGTTCGAGATAAGCCCAGCAGTATTTTGGAGAGATCATTGACAGCACATTCAGGTAATTATACATATTCTCAAATATTCTTTCATTGCTGTACATTCTCAATAAAATTTCTTCCAACAGTTTTATAGCACTTTGGATTTTGAATTATAATGTCATTTTGACTCTGTTTTCACTCATTATACAGATTAAAACACTTTAAAAAATTGTGGGTGCTCGTAGGTCATCCATCTATTCACGAAAAATTTCACAAAGAATGCTTATTTGATCTTATTTGGATAACATCAGAAATTTGATGTTTTCCCAAATTGGGTTCCTCTTCTGACAGTTTTCAAATTATCCCTTTGCCTTTTGTGATGTTCTTGGGTAACATAATCAACATTGAAAGTAAGCTTCATGTGCCTTTTTTATTTTCATGTTTAGAACACTGATCTAAATAAAATATTCAGATTTTTGAGACTATCTATTACCAGTATCTTCTATCTACATTTTGATATGTATACTTAATGTTTGTTAGAAATAACTCAAAGTTATAATGCTGATTCTTTGCACATCACTAAAAATGACATTCTACATAATGATTTAACTTGTGAATTGATTCAACTGACTTTTTTTTCAAGTCATTAATGAATTAAAACTTCCTCCAATGGAAGCAAATCGCATCATAACCTCTAATTCAAAATCCCATGGTATTATGGTAACCTGACAATCATAAACATCTGACAACCATGGAACACCCACAGGCGAAAAACTATTCAAATGAAGATTCCCAATAAGTAATAAGTCATTTTACCAGGTTTATTATTTTTTATTCAAACAATCAGTAGTTATAATTTGTTTTTAAAAAAATACGAAACTTGCCCGCCATATTGGATCCGCCATCTCGAATTTCGCAATTTTGACGTAAGAATCATAATCTCCGACCACGAAAATCCCCAGCCCCCAATTCTGAATAAAATCGGTTCATATTTACAAAACTTGTCCGCCATATTGGATCCGCTATCTTGAATTTTTCGATTTCGACTTGAGAATCATAATCTCCGACTCCGAAGATCCCCAGACACCAATTTTCAAAAGAATCGGACCATAATTACAAAACTCGTCCGCCATATTGAATCCGTCATCTTGAATTTCACAATTTTGATGTAGGAATCATGATCTCCGTCCCCGAAAACCCCCAAATACCAATTTCGAACAGAATCGGATTATAATTACAAAACTCGTCCGCCATTTTGGATCTGCCATCTTGGATTTTCAAGACCTAAAAAACAGCTTACGAGCGATTCTCTCCGGAAGAGTTTGGCAACAAACACCACAACAGGAGAATTTTTTATATTCAATTGTAGGTTCGTTCATAATTATTGTATGAAATCATCAATCATATCAATGATATTCAATTTGTGGCAGACATTTCTCCAAGAATTCAAACGACAGTTTGCTAAACGGAGCATTTTGCTAGAGAAGTTTGGCTCAATCATCCCACTTTGGTCTCAGTAGTCTATGGTATCATTTTGTACAGACCTTTGAGATACACTCTATATTATTTTTTAGTTAAGTCTCCGTCCGCTCTACCGTACCAGCCGGACAAAATAGCGTCCATCCAGGACATCCCGAAGACAGTCTTCATCCCCCGCAAGCCCCCAGAATCCGACCTTGAAAAGCGCACCCCCAAATCCTCCGAGTCCTCCAGTCCGTCCACCTTCGAATACCCCCTGGAATTCCTCCAGCAGCGCATCAAGACTGAAGAGCAAAACGAGGAGGAGGACCCTAATGTGGCCAAGGACCCCAATATGGTCAAGATGGCGGAATTGCAGCCCCACCACAGCTCCCAGTGCGGAAATTGTCCGCACTGCGGGAAAGTGTACTCCAATCAGTCGGCTTTGAAGTATCACGTGAGGCTGGTGCATTCCGATTTGACGAACATGTACTGCTGTCATTTGTGTCCGGAGGCCTTTGATTATAGAGAGGGGTACAAGAAGCATATGGCCGAGGTGCATCTTATTAGGAATTGAGGTTATATTTATTCAGCAGTTTTATCTTTGTTATACTTTTATAACTGTTTTTTTTTATTTACAAGTTATATTTTATTTAATAAAGTGGTTTTTGAGATATACATATACAACTGTCTTTATATGCGTCAGAAAATTTTCAACGTCATTAAAGCTACACCTAATCGAACAAAAGTTACTTTCAAACGGTTACTCACTGTTTAATATCATGACCTTGAACTCAAGATATCAAATATAATTGGAATAACGTGATATTATGGGCGAAATATTCATTGAACATGAAGAGTGCCACAAGGAGGCCAACCAGGCCCATTGCTGTTTATCATTTACCAAACATAAATCAAGGACAGTTACTTGTATCATAAAATATTGTAGTCTGCACATTCTGCATCACGAAAATAATTTTTCCTCTGAATTTTTTAGTCACAATTTCAGAATATTTCATGGAATCAATTCTTCATATTTCATGAATTCATTTTGCAATTTATATAGAGTGTCATCCATAAAGGGTGACACATATGGGGAAAAAGTATATTATTGTTTTTTCAATTTCATGGCAACTAATTCAATGAAAATGAAATTGTTCTCTCATTATTTTCAAAATACAAGTTTATCACAATCACTCAACCTACTCGAGAGCAAAAAAAGATGATTGTAAGGGAGTCAGTGTTTCTTTACTACCAAGGTAGTTTTCGTCATTTTATGAACCACTAGTAAATAAAGACAAAGCCACCTCTGTTGTAATTAACCCGAATTCACTGTTCTGATGCGATATTCACCAATCTCTTGAACCAGAATCATTGTCAATCATCTTGAAATGCACTAATATCAATAAAAAAGGGGGAATCAACGGAAGATAAACTTTTATTATAACACAATTCACGTTTCCATATTTTCATTATCAAGACAGCTCACTACAAGATCTTCGTAAGTCCATTTTGGAAAGACTCTCTTGTAGAGATTGAGCAAAACTGTGTCTTGAGATTTTAGTTGTCCATCAAACACACACTTCATGTGTCCATGAGTACCTAAAAAACATCCATTTTAAATAAAAAAACATCAATAAATATCGATTAAACATGAAGAAACAACAATGTTCAAGAATGATAATCAAGGGGAAAGTTCTTGAATTGTTATTTTTTGTTCTTACCCAAAGGTTCCTTGATATGTCCAATTCTTCCCATTTTCGTTCTGAGTTTACAAGGTTTGAAATAGATGATGTCTTCGCGATTGAAGAACATGAACCTTATGACAGCTGATCTCTTGTTGATTTTTAGGGGATGTCCTAGACAGAATAAATAATAAATATAATTCGGATACCTTTTTTGTTAATTTTTTTTTATTTACCGGATAAAATGAGCCTTTTGACGACCAGTCGATCCGGATTACAAGACAACAAGCTTCCGGTAGCTACAAGAATGAGCCGACCATCGACTTCTTTGTAGCAAAGTACCGGAGCAGGAGGGAACTGAATGGGAGCGTAAAATGTCGCTACGGCAGTGGAGTCTGGTTGGAAAAACCTCTCGAACTAAAAAACGGATTTTTTCATGATTTTCATAATTACTTGAAACGTTATCTGACTGTAGAGACAAAAGGGTGAAAGCAAATCTACTTGTGATGTTCTTCTACCCTCTCATAAAAAAACTGTACGCCCCTCCAATCGCAAAAAATTAAAGTTGGTGCTGATATCTCAAATTCTAGAAGAGTTGGTATAAATTTCATATTTTTTTCGAAATCACTTTGAAAAACTGCCATGAAAATGTAAAATTCCTATTTGAATATTTTCATAAATGAAGAAGTTATGGAGGAGACATGAAAAAGATCAAAATCTGTTTTTTGCGTATAAAACAAAAACGAATTGATTTTATCCAAACATTTTTCCACATTATAGTTGGCCTTGACAAACTCCACAATTGGTGTAATTTAACCGACCTCGTATCTCTCACCGTTAAAAAGATACCCATGGTGAGCATGGTAAGTGGGACACACAGTATACATTTTAGAGAGGGTATTGAATTTTATGTCTCTTTTGATTCCATAAATAATAATGTGCAATACATTTTTGGATAATATCTAAGCATTTTCCTCGGAAACGGAGCAAGCTAGAAAAAAATAGGAGAGAGATATTGTATTTTTAGTGGATTTATCTGAATATTCAAGAACCCGAAAAAAAAAAACGGTGAGTTTTTCTACAAAAAAGCCGACTTGCTCAATGGGTATGCTCCTGGAAATTCTGGATCAAATCTAACCGGTCCACTAAATATCTGATACTTGTGTAAATAAACCATAATAGTTTCATCCAAATCGGCTTGATGAAAAACAATTTTTTTTTAACTTGGGTACCTCCCCTAGGCTTTGCAGCACCCAGTATATTTTTGGGCAAATAGAATAGAATAATGAAATTGAGTGATTTTGAAGTTCATATTCAAGAAAAAAAATCTGTATAAATCATAAAGATCACAATTCCATAAAAAGAGTTATTTGATATTTTCAAGAAATCGTGATTTTTCCAACTCTGTTGTTGAATGTAATTCTGAAGGATATGATCAGAACAATCACTTTTTCAACACCCTGTACATCCACCTACCTTGTGCTTTTGACCGTTGGTATGACTACTAAAAACCGGATTCACCGCAAAGCGCCTGTAGCCGCACTGGAAGACGAGCCTCTCTTTGGATTTGACAGGAAGATCGTAATCCGCCGTCCTCCTCAGCACGACATTGACAGCTGACATTTTGTGTTCGTGCGGAAAGAGGCCGAAGAGTACTAGTGGCGAGCCGGATTTTTGGAAGGTCGACCACATCAGTTGGGAGACGTTTTTCACGTGGACGGTAAGGTACCAGCCAGACTGAGAAGAAGTATGTTTGATAAAATAGGATTTGGTGCTTGATGATGAATTGATTTGGCAAAAACATACAGAACACATAACTAAGGACCTCCGCACACGGGTCGATCGGCGACATGGGCGACGCGATTGCAATGACGTCACAATTTCTGCATTCGTACGATTCAAGAGACGGGAGTGTGTGTCATCCGCATATGGGTCGACGTTTTGTGTAGTCGACTCGCGTCTGATCAACTTAGTTACTCTATTTTTTGCAACTTCAAAAAGGAATGTTTCGCTAAAAATGAGCAGTTCCAATGGCGAGGAGGACATATTCATGTTTTTGTGGCACCGGCAGATCAGGAGAAGAAGAAGACAACGAAGTTTATGGGTGCATCCGTACATTGCACGAAATTTTCACACTCGACTTTTTGTTACTGCAAGTGAAATGCAAGAGAGTGACACAAAATTTCTGGCATTTTATAGAATGTCGAAGGAATCATATATTGATTTAGTGGAAACTCTTGCTCCAGCCATAAATTATATGGATTCAAATATGAGGGAATGTGTCAGCGCAGAAGACCACATACTAATAACATTGATGTAAGATTCATATATATTTCAAAAAATCAAACAGTTCCTAAAGTTGAGAGTATAAATTGGAAACATAAGATTATATGTTCTTGTTACTGAAAGTAAAGAACTAAGGTAGGTAACACAAATATTCACAATGATTGAAAAATTATTGAACAACTTTCTCCATTAGTCTCCACGCAAGATTCACTCGATCAAACTGCTTCCTTGCTAATCGCGTGAGACTGAAAACGAGGAGATCTTAAATCGTACGTTTTTAGACGACCACTAAACGACCCGTGTGCGGGATCCAGATGCTTTGCTTAGGAAGTCGAGTAGAGGGGAGACCGTCGTACGATTCGAATCGCGTCGCCCATGTCGCCGATCGACCCGTGTGCGGAGGGCCTAACAAACTTGTTCTCATGATAGGAGCTCTGTACCGATGTCAGGACTACCTCACCGACAAAAACAGAATCATGCCCAATAATGCTTACTACTTGTCAATATTCCGATACAATTACCACCTGGGGGTATCATCAAAACAAGTTCTCAATACGATGAAAACACTACAAAATAAAATAGTGAAAATACTATACAAATTCGATTTTAGAACACCCACAAATACTGTGTATAGAGAAACAAAAATACTACCGTTAGAATTATTAGTCTTTCAATTGGAATGATGTGAATTTATCAGATCTATAAAACAGTCAATAATCAACAAAAATGCAATAGCACACTAACCTTATTGATTCAGATACATAGTCACAAGACAAGAGGACAAAATCTCTAAATAACTCAATCTCGAAAGCAATTGAAGAATATAACAGCAGAAATTAAAAAAGAAAGTTATTCATTATTTAAAAATGACCTTAATAAATACTTCTGTATGTGAAACCGCCATTGGGTACCTACTATGTTCTGTTAACGGCTTGTTAGCTGATTTGGAACTGATCTCAACTTGAATATAAAAGACAATACATTTCAAGGCACAAGTGAAGAGACTCGCTGAGGGAACTCTGAAGAATCCTCGAAATAATCCGAGATTTCAAAGAGTTCCAAAGAGTTTCAGGGGATTCCAAAGTATTCCAAAGTTAATCAAACGATCCTAAAAACATTCAAAAGTATTCCAAGAATCAGCAAAGAATCCCATGAAGTTCCAAGAAATATTAAAGAATAGCGAATTATTGAAAGATATCTCAAGGTATTCCAAATGATAAATGGGTTGATTTTTTTCAGATTTAACTCGAATTCAACACATAATATCAAGACATTCCAAAGAAATCCGAGAAATTGCAAGGAATTAAAAAAAATTGAAGAAATAAAAAAATTCCGAGACAGTGAATTTTAAGTCAGTTCTAAAGACTTCCTGAAATAATCCATGACCTCAAAGGATTCCAAAGAATTTCAGAGTTCCATGAGATTCCAAAGTGGTCCAAAGATTTTCAAACGATACCAATGACATCCCAACGGAATTACAATAATTTCCAAAGAATCCCATGAAATTCCAAGAAATCTCAAAAAACTCAAAATTATTCAATGAAATTCGAAGAAATTCCAAGGTATCTATACCAAATGATAAAATTAATTAACAAGGGGCAGATTCTTTTGGAAACAATTTCAATTTGAGAAGAAATTTCAAGGAATTCAAAGATTCAGAAAAAAAACATTTCATTTCTGAGTAATATCATGCCACATATTTTTCAATCAAATTGTCCTGAGCAGGTATTCTTCAAGGTAAATATTCTTCAATTCATTCGGTGATTAATTGTATAAGATTATTCCATGTTGATATTGAATTAATATAAATTAAAAATAAAATTGGTCCCAGAACTGATCCTTGTTGTACTCCATATGTAATATCCATTAGTGAGCCACAAGTATTATTCACTCCAACATACTGTTTTCTATATGTCAAATAATGTGTGAACCAATCATGAATTCTTCCTCTGACACATATTGAATATAATTTATTTAGTAGAATTCTATGATCTACAGTGTCAAATGCCTTACACAGGTCCAAGGACAAGAAGTCATATCGGCAATCTCTGTATCCTTTGACCTACCGAATCCATATTGATCACTGTATAACAGATTGTTATTTTCAAGATATCCATTGGAGATAAAGGAATAATATACACTTTCTTATTATTTTGAATCCCATTATGAAATTATGAATATAATTTGAGAGAAATTTAGATCAGATATTGACACTTTTAAACATGAAAAAATATAGGTCAAACACATATTTCAAAGGAGAAAAGAATTACAGACAAACTTATGAGAATTGAGGAATCATTATTTCATGACAACAGTAGAAAAGTTTTTTGAATTTTTATGGCTCTATTTCAAAATATACCAACACAATACATAATACTTACAAGAGCACCATCTTTATTTTCTTGTTCTTTCAACACCCTCTTCTTAGTCCTGTCGAAATTCTGAAACTGGAAAATTCTGGCATAATCACTAGGCAAATTTTCTTTGACATCCCATGGAGAGGTTCTGAAATTAAATAAAAAAGTCATCTTTTTGAAGCAAATTTTTAATTTTCTTCAAGCAGGATTGCAAAAATATGCAATGAATATTAGATCCATTGGGAACTTTTGTCACCTGAAACTCTCCAATCCCCTGTATTTCTGGAATCTGACCCTAGCAGGCTGATCCAGGGGTGTATCAATTTCATCTGGAAATTGTCGGTCGCTTTTTGCAGCTTTCAATTTTGCGAGAGCCTCACGTTCTGCATAAAAGTCCATTTCTTTGTCATACCTCAAAAAAAAAAACCTGTTTAGGAAGAATAAACAAGATAAACATTCTCACTTTTCATCATTGATGGCAACTTCTGATACAGTTACACTGTCAAAGTCTTTGTCTCCTTCTTCCTCGGATTTCTCAGATTTTTCCTCAGACATGGCATCCATGTACCCATCTACGGATTCTTCTTCTCCATCCTCAGATTCATCTTGTTGGAATTCAGCATCGTCATCTGGTATCCAGGCTGCCTGGTAGTCAGACCAGCCTTTTGGTACTTTTTTGATTTTTTTCAACTGAAAATTGTTCAAAAAATTTAAGAAGTTGGATTGAAAATTGTCTGATGAATTACTTTTTGTTCTTTGTCTGCCATATCTAGTTCTTCATTGGTGGGCCAGGTCTGTTCAGCATCCATTGGATCAGGAATGTTCTCAGAATCAAGAGATTCCTGTTTGGCAGGGTCACATTTTTCTAAGATTCTGACAACCTGTTCATCAGAATCCATAGAAACAACATCCCTATTTCTAAAACATATTTGAATTCTTATTTCTCGAATTATTTTAAGAAATCGTGAATGTTGAGAACTCTGTTTGGAAACGGTGATGATTTCATTGTTCAAGGAATTACAAAGCCTTACAAAAAGTTCCAAGAAGAACTAAAACATTCCAAAGGGATCTGAATTATTCCTAAGATGAAGTTCCAAGAAACCTGAGGAATTCTGAACAATTGGAAGAAAGTAATTCCAAATGATATAAACAATTATTGAATAGGGTGCCATCTCTAAAAAAATTGAAGAAACTTTTTTGAAATTTTTGGAATATAAAATTGCAGAGTTGGTTGAGATTAGTTTTTGTCACATAAACCTTGAATTCATCAAGGAATACCACTTGAATTCTAATGGAGTTATGGGATTTTCATGGGGATTTCAATGAAATGCTATGAATTCCTTAGGATTCCAATTGTCACAGAAAATTCATGACCTTGAGCTGAGAGTTTTTGTTTTGTCATTGGGCTTCAATTATGACTTGATTCATCTTGATGCTGCTAATTATACACTGGTCCAAAAAAGTCATGGAGCAATCTCAAAATTCAATAAATTACTTGATGATATCAAAATTTGCACAAATATCAGCCAATTCAAAATTGAAGTCAAGAGACATATCCTCTTGCAAAGAGAAAATGAAACCTGAGTGAATGATTTCTCATTTACTAATTTATTTCATCATGTCATAATGTACTTTTCATCAGCTTTCTGTTTTATTATTATTATTTTTGAATCTGTTGTATCTATCACTCAGATCTAACACATGAATAATCTCATACCAGATATGAATCTGTCTGATTATTCATGTTATTACATTGTAAATCTGAATAAAATATATTTATATTTATATGAGATGCAATGTCATACTCTATTTGGATGATATTAATTTTGTGGAAGACTATGAGTTCATAAATTTGTTTGCAGATGATACTCTCATAGCTGTCAACAGTCTAAACCTGGATGAGGCAATAGATAAAATGAACAAATGTTTGGAGAATATCACTGAATTTTTGAATGTTAATAAGCTCAAATTGCATACTCTCAAAACCAAGGCCATGATAATAAGCTCAAAATACAAATATAAACAAATTAATGTAAATAACATAAATATATCAATATCTAATGAGAACATTGAAATAGTACAAGAGATAAAATATCTGGGCTTCAAAGTTGACAATTTTATCAATTTCAAAAGTCATTTCAATTATATTCTTAGCAAAATAAGTACAAAAATATTTTTCCTCTCACTTTATTCAAGTCAAATCTTCTGGTGTGCATCAAGGAAAACTAACCTTTAGGTATTATGTGTATGGATTAATGATAGATTACAGTTTGAAATATTGTTTCTAATGGTAGATGTCATTCCATAATTTCATTAATTCTGTTCATTAACTTTATTCAATATTATGTTGATCTCGAATTTATTTTATTAAATGATTATGTTATATAATTATCAGAATCTGTATATTAGGATTCCTATTTAAATAAAGATTATTATTATATATGTAATGTTTATAGCAAGTAATGAAATAAAATATTATTATCATTAAACAGGCAAAGTACTCCAAAGAATTCCAAATGCTTGAATAAATTCAAAGGAACCTCATTATTTCTTAAGGAATTCCAGAATAATAAGAAGGATTTTGAGGAATTTCTAATATATCCAGTTGATGAAATGATTTAACCAGGACCACGTTTGAAACTACCAGGAAACTCTAGGATTCTGAAGAATCTGCAAAGAATTACAGAGAAAAAAGGTGAAAGTTCTTCTCTAGTCCCCAAAGGAAGTCTGAAAAATTCCAAAGGAATTTCTCCAAGTGATTTCAAAGATCTAGGGTAATTTTATTCTAATGAATTCAAAAATTACTCTTAAATTTTTAAAGTAATTACAAATACATTCTACTATACAAGTGAAGAAAATTAGCTTGCCACTTTTAAAAATACAAAATTGTTTTTCTCATTTGCTTGTTAAGTCTAAATGATGATGAATACAAACAATGAGGTGAAAACTGTTGTTTTTCAGCCCCAAAATTAATTCAAACCACTCACTTGGTTTTGTCATGTTTATGTGGATCATTGGCAATATCAATTTGTGACATCTGAAAATCTCCTAGACCAGGAATATGGATCAACTGATTGACTGATAAAGAAGTGCTACCTCTCAAATATCCAGTGATTTTCAAAGTCCCTGTAGTACCTGCAAAATAATGAAAATTATGTAGCACTAGACTAACAATTTGAAAAACAAAAAATACCCTGAGAGTCAGTAATATATTCCACTTCTTCACCCAACAAATGTGGTCTCCTATCTCTATAAAGAACAGGTTTTCTTTTCTGATTCCCAATACGTCTCAATAGATTGATACCATCTATGTTCTTGTCCAGAACCATAAGTTTTTCCTCTGGCAGCCATTTGTTCACTAGTTTTTGGATTTGTTGTTTCTGTTCCTGCCTTTTTTTTAGTGCAATACTTTCAAGATCTGTAAGTGCTATAATAGGGGTAGGTAAACCCTGAAATACAAACAAATGAAGAAAAAAACAATCAGGCCTACTGCTGGTAATAATGGTCTGGCTCTACCTGAGCAAATGAAGATGTTATGATAGATTCACCCCATTTGTCAATCACCAAATCATTATCTTCATGTCCTGAACTAGCAGATATGAGAAATAAAATAGTATCTGCAACTTTCAAAGCATCCAGTACAGCAAAATCCTTATCCAGTGTTGGCATAACAAATGCAAATTTTTGTTTGAATCTTGGCATACTGAAAGTAGAAGAAGAATGATGTTGATGCAATTCAGGATTTGCTAAGAACACAGTCACCTGAAATGGGTTACCCCCATTGCAGACCTAGTCACAATTGAGTCATCATCACATTGTGAAAGAAGTGTTAGGGCTGTGCTGGGATCTATAAGTTTATTCAGGGGCACAACACAAACTAGAAAAGGGGCATGCTCCATGCCCCCCAAAGACCGTTTTTTGGCCAGAACTTCATCTCTTTTATTCTGTCTGATTTGAGTAGCCTTATTTCGCCTCTGCTCTCTATTCAGCTCATGTTTGTTCTTCTTAGTGATGGTTTTGACTGATACTTTGCCTGTAATATTGATAAATGTGAGAGAATATTGGAATTGTTTCTGATAACCTAACCTCACTTACCCTTCGACGAGACGTTTATGGAGCCTTTGGAACGATGTCTGCCATGCTTGTGTTCTTTATTTGTTTGTTTGAATACTCCCGGCCTGTGAGCTATGCCTTTTTCGATAGCCATTTTTGCAAAACCAATTTTACTGGAGAAAATATAAAAATTTGATGAGAGACAACGTTGAGACACTTGAGAGCATAGACATTGGCAGTGTTGCCGCGCCCAACTTATAATTATAAAACGTACCACACGTTAAACTGAAAAGTGCTGAAAATGTACCTTTTCCGTCGACCTCGTATTAACGGCTAAGTTTAATGTATATGAAATCGTTCATTAATGACCCCTATTAATGAACGATTTGTCTATTAATGTACGATTGTTTTATAGGCAACCAAACATACACCGCGTGCATTCATTGTTTATGTTATAACTTACGGAATCTGCATTTAAATCGAAAATATGGATTTAATTGAAGATTTTCTGTTAACGGGTTCGCCTTTCCAAATTTCTGACACGATTTTAATCCCTGTTTTCTAACATAAGAAATTTATTTCCCATGTTGATCATTTCGACAAATGTCAAATGACACTAATGTCAGTAACAAGGCTACTGGGTGATTCTTAGCAGTTTCCGGATGGATGATGAATTCGCGAACCAAGTTTTCTTCATTGCAGGAGAAATGAGAAATATAGTCGACGGAAAAATTTTGTAACCAACTTGTATATTAAAAGGCGATTAATGATCTCGAACATTAACGCTCTCGCTTCGCTCGCACGGTTAAAATATCTCGATCATTAATCGCCCTCATTAATACACTAGTTGGTTAAATAACTATTTCCGTCGACCTCGTATTAACGACTAAGTTTAATGTATATGAAATCGTTCATTAATGACCCCTATTAATGAACGATTTGTCTATTAATGTACGATTGTTTTATAGGCAACCAAACATACACCGCGTGCATTCATTGTTTATGCTATAACTTACGGAATCTACATTTAAATCGAAAATATGGATTTCATTGAAGATTTTCTGTTAGCGGGTTCACCTTTCCAAGTTTCTGACACGATTTTAATCCCTGTTTTCTAACACAAGGAATTCATTTTCGTTGATCATTTCGACAAATGTCAAATCTCACTAATGTCAGTGACAAGGCTACTGGGTGATTCTTAGCAGTTTCCAGATGAATGATGAATTCGCGAACTAAGTTTTCTTCATTGCAGGAGAAATGAGAAATATAGTCGACGGAAAAATTTTGTAACCAACTTGTTTATTAAAAGGCGATTAATGATCTCGAACATTAACGCGCTCGCTTCGCTCACACGTTAAAATATCTCGATCATTAATAGCCCTCATTTAATAAACTAGTTGGTTAAATTTTTTTTTATTTCATTATTTCAAATCTGCATAAAACAGATGGCTCGTTCCCATCAGATTTGGGTCAATAAAATAGTTTTAGAAATGAGATTTCACTCACTTATCCATCCTTATTTTCCTTATACTTAGGTATGAGGATTGTGAACCGAGGGATTAGTGGGAATACCACATACAACCTGTGGTACAACCGTTGGAGAATCACAGATAGGGTATCATTCTTTGCAGAATCTTCATCATACATTTAGACGGGTAGATGGTGCCCGCATACAGAACACAAAAATGTGCTTTGGATGAAGAAAAGTAGCACATCGTCAATATAATGAACATAGGAGCAAAACATGAAAATGTACCAGAAATGCCTCAAATTTAAAATGTAGTACCACCATACCACATATTTGGTACAAATGTACCACCGCGGCAACACTGGACATTGGACTTGACAGACTTGGCTACTTGAAGTACTTGACAACTTGTGTGACAGCTGACAGACTGACAGTGACAGAGACTAGATAAATTACACTAGTGTGAGTTTGTTTATGGACAGAGAGATGGCAGCAGTGATGCTAATGCGCAAAGAACGCAAGATTTTCATAATCTCATGCACGTAAAATCTCAAGGAAAAAACACAAAAAAAACACACCTCCTCAATCAACGTCTTCCACGCAACTTCAACTCTGTCTTTGTCGCACGTTCACAGTCGCACTAAAATTTTATTTTTCTATAAATTCGACAACCGTGATTAAGGACCGACTTTTTGCAGGCAACCCTATATATCAATAAAGCAAGTAGGTGAAGAGTGAAGATAACTAGGACCAACATACCTGTTCATACGACCTGGTACTTAGGGTCTTAGGGTTGATGTGAAATTTTTTCATTAAAAACATCGGTAGAAGTAATAAAAAAAGTGATTTTTGAATTTTTAATCAATTATAATCCTGGCCAGGAATTTTTCAGGCAACCCATTTTTTTATAATTTTCAACATACTCAATTACTTATGAAATAATGTTAATGAGTGCTGAAGGTCGATTTACTTCGGAGTTCGGATCCTCTACAAGCATTATTTTTGAAATTGTGCTTCTCCGGCGGTCTATATCTCGATCCGAATATCAATTTCATGGGCAATTGAAGGCATTTGAACGAAAGTCAATTTGACATTTTTTGATCATGAATTAATTGATTTGAATGATTTATATATTTATTGTGTGATTGCATTTGAAAGTTTTGATTATAGAAGTATTTTCAGGATAAGGAGAAAACGTATGATACCAATGGATGTCAAAAAGGATATATGTACCTAGCTATTATTGTTATTTTTTTTTATAATAATGAAATAATGATCAAGACAGTGATTACTTGGATTGCACAGATTTTATAGGTAAATCGACGCATCGACATCAAAGGATGCATGCTGAAGCCAATTTATTTTACCTCCCTCGGGCCGAGTTAAAATATTTATTCTGTATAGGAGTAAATTGACAACTTTGTTTCCTTCAGACACCCTGTGTTTAATGATGATAATGAAAATTAGAACGGGCATGTTTCAAGTGACCCTGATATGTATCATTATTTTTGGAGTGAAGAGATATCATGAAAAATTTTGCTTATTATAAGGTAGGTACTTATATACTTATATTCAACAAAAAAAAGTCTATCGAAATCTATCAGATGATAACGGTTTTACAAGAGTGGTGTAATTCCTTAAGGTTGACACACTGAATAAACCAGGGCCAACTGGAGAGAGTAGTTCTCTTTCTCTCAGGGGCGGACTGGACCTTTGAATCGGCCCGGGCGAATTGAACCCTACCGGCCCATCTCCGGAGAAAATTCCAAAGCTAATATAGCTATTCATATAATTTCATTACATATTTTAGTGACATGGACAAAAACGAAAGGAAAAAGGAAAATGGAATCAATAACATGAATAACATTTCATTAATGAAAAATAAGAATAGATAGAATAAACGATAATTTTATGGTGGAGGAATATAAGGAACTTTGTTAATAATAATAAAGCTACAAAAAGACTAGGAAAATTATTCATCCAGAATAAAACATAAGCCGCATTAGATATCGAAATCACAGAACGAGTGAATCTCTTATGGATCCACATTTCTCAATGAAATCGAAAATTATATCGTCGCTTCCTATTTTGTAAAATCGTTTTTTCGCAGCTCATCATGATGGAAGCCCCCAAATGTTCTTGGCTCAGATAATTTCTTAGCCAAATCAAAATAAATTTGAATTTTGAGAAAGATTTTTCACATGAAACCTGCGATACTGAAAGGGTGATAATAATTTTATCTGAATATGGATATACCTCAACGTAAAAATTTTATTTGTGCAAACTATGGAAGGAACATAGTAAAAATGTTTTGCGAAACTTGTATTTTGATGAATTCCATTCCTCTTCTACATCGAAGACATAAGTTCCTCCACCCATCATATCTTCTGATAAAGTAATCAACAGTCTTCCCACTTTGAGGTAAAATCTATCAAGGCTTATTTCATCAGAAGGATAATAATTTATGATATTTTCATAAATCATCCTTATTGAGTTTTCAGTCAATATTATTTGATCATCTGTGAATCTTGACGGATCTAATAGTTCAAAATCATGAAACAATTCTTTATGTTTCTTGAATCTAAATTCCAGTGCGGTGATAATATTATCAATGATTACATTTAAAGTCTCGATTTTGAATTTCTTGATGGGATTTTGAGGTGCTTCATCATCACCTTTCTCATCAAAAAACTTTTTTTATTTCGTGTTCTTTGAAAATAAATAGTTAATTTGCTTTATCAATGAATTTATGTGTATCAATCAAAGTGACATCATATTCTCGCGATATTTTTTCAAGGAATTCATGGTTTTTTCGACGATTCAGTATGCTTTTAAAATATCCATTGGAACCTGATATTCGTAGTTAGCTCGAAAGAGGAGTGGTGAAATTGAAGATTTCTCTAATCAAAATTGCAGATATAATGGTCTCATACTTCAGAAAGCTGTTGAGAAGACCTATATATCCTTATTTATTCACTATTTCTACCGGCCCCCCAGTCCGCCTCTGCTTTCTCTTATGCATCAGAAAATTTTTTGCTAGATTTTTTGTCGCCCCTCGAAGTAATTGAATTATCTTGAATTGGTAATAAAAACAATCTGGTAACACTTTATTGACTAACATCGAAACACGATATCACATAGTACCTACCTAGAGAATCATAAAAATGTCTCGATGTATTGAAGTACCTAATTATGTACATTATGCATTTATAAATGAAATGATCATGTTATAGAGAATCACACAAAATTTTACGACGCTTTATTCTTATGCTAAAGTGTCGACAGCGTCTTTGACGTCACCTTCAGTTTCATCGTCTAGGGCTTTATCGATGTCGTCGTCATCTATAGAGTCAATCTGCAGTTTTTCTATGTTATCATCAAATGCCACTGATTTTCTACGTTCCATCATTTCTCCTCCAGATGGATCTTCTGATGATATTTCTCTTCCATCTTCATCGAATTTCCGGAAAACGAAGCCAGTCGGTCGTCTCTCTTCTAAAGCCGAGGAACCTTTTCGTCTGAAATTATCGAAATTCAAATTAATACCTACTGCTATATATATAGTGGTGAAAAAATGCAATATACATATAAATAACTATTATTTTCTAGTTCTTTTTACGTTGGCTAACTATAAAAGCGTGTTTTTTAGTTTTCTGAACTACCGACTATTTATTTTTTCTCCTTAT